TACCAATTTAATATTTTTGAGTTTATAACTTATCAAGTGAAAAAACTTTTTTGATGATGGCTTTCTTTAAAAGTTGAAAACCTTTACTCAAGGCAAATGCCACTTTTTCATCATAAATTGTAATGAAAGTATAGTAAATAGCATAAATTTGAATGTTACTATTTACTGCTAACCGTTCCAAAACTGGTACTTTTACATCAAAATATTTTTCTTATCCGAAAAAGGGCGGCAAATTCTGAATTGCCTGGGAGTGACAAATACTCAAATCCGCCACTGCTTATTGCACTTCTTCAGGCGCAGATTATCTAATTTTTTAAATTTGAAATATGTAGGTTGCAGATCGCTTTTTTAATATATATTTGTACAGAATTAGATTAATATTACTTTTCGAATAGGTGGCAACACTAATCAGAAATTTTTTCAAACTACAGTTTCCTTAAAACTATTTCGGTTGAACTCATATATTCTATTTTACCTGTTACAAATTTAGTAAATTCGAGTTTTCAAGAAGGTGGCAACCCTATTTAAAATTATATTCAAACTAAAATCTTTTTCTTCTGACATTGTGGTCCTCTTTTTAATTAACAGATTAATTAAATTGATCATGCAACTTTTTAACACCTAATGATTCTAAATGCTAAATAAAGATTTCATAGCAATATTTTGTGTATGTCAAATATTTTAATATCTCATATAACTTCTGTATAAACTAACTAAATTTGACTTTTCAAACAGGTGGCAACCCTCTTCAAAATCATAATACATACTTCAATTACTTAATTAACGTCGAATTTGATTTTTAAATAGGTGGCAACCCTCCATCTAATTACGAAATAAAGCCGTTTAAAAACTCCTTCGATTGGTATGGGTATCGAAATTATTTGAATAAATATTTTTTTAATGGTGGCAACTCTTTTCGAAAAAGTTAAACCTTATCGCACATCTAATCTACACTGCAAATAAAAAATATTTTTGCCAACACTCGATTCCGCATGTACGCTTGAGGCTATGTATGTTTACTTTTTTTTAAATTATGGTAAATTGTCTCTAAATTTCAATCACTTGTGTCACTTGTACATATCTATCAGAAGGATAACCCTCGCGAATTTAAATACTTTCTATCGTATTTAAATAGTACGACCTCCATTCGCTATACATTTCCACTTACACTCAATAGCCCATTCGTAATATTCATCGAGCGCCGCCGATATACGATCGATATCCCTGAGGCATTTCGAATCGTCGTATGGTCTTAATGTGCCATTAACTGCTGCAGCGCCTATGCTTGCACCATCTTTAAAAAAGAGATAAGCAAGATCATTTTTGAAGGGTGATCCTGAGGCAGCCAAAGCTGTTATTGATTGTTCAGCATTCGAATTATATAAAAATAGCGCTAATATAAGCGACAACACCGCCAGTGCATGCCGCGCTGCCATTTCGTTTGTGGCCGTAACACTTAATCGTTATGTATGACCGCACTACACTAGGATATGACCGTAGTCCCACTTGTCGCGCCAGTATATAGGACTAAACTGCAAGAAACCCATATTCGGCAGTAACATTTATAGCCATTGCTGCCACATTACTCAAGATATGGTCATATCAATCCGCGAACGAGTATACATAAGTACTCGAGGGCACACATACTCACCTACTCCATTTTCCACAAATAAATCTTATTTCTTGTTCAGATATTCTTGAATCTAAGTATATGGGTATTGATTTCGCTTATATTGATAACACATTTGATGAAGTATGTATGTATGTATGTTGGTTTAATAATGAAAAGTATTGCGCGTAATCTTAATGTAAAATTCTTAACTAATCAATCGCCAACAACAAACACTATAATTCGTAAATCTGTCGGCTTATCGAATTTTAGATTATAAATAAAGAGGTAACGGTTGAATTGTAAAACTAAACAGAAGGCATTTTATTGTTTGTGTGCCAAAAGCAACTACATTTTTCGAGATATGTATAAAATAAATTTAATTAGCGGCGGTATATCGAAATATGGTATTGACCAGAAATTGTCGTGAATGGGCGAAAAAAAAGCTCATTGAAAGAGAAATTAAAGGAAAGTTTATAACAAAATTGCCATTTTTACAGACTTGTAAATAATATTCATACGGACATATGCATTTTTATAAAGGGTGATTTTTTTGAGGTTAGGATTTTCATGCATTAGTATTTGACAGATCACGTGGGATTTCAGACATGGTGTCAAAGAGAAAGATGCTCAGTATGCTTTGAAATTTCATCATGAATAGACTTACTAACGAGCAACGCTTGCAAATCATTGAATTTTATTACCAAAATCAGTGTNTTTTATGCGTTTTTTTTTAAAAAAAAGTTATCAAGCTCTTAAAAAATCACCCGTTATATGTATGTATGTACATACATACGTTAATACTGTACATACGTATTTTACTAAAATATGAAACTTTGTTCCTCAAATTTCAGTAATATCAGCTTTGGGTAGATCTACTTCGGAGCGCTGCGCATTTGGCTAGCTGGGATCGATTAAATAACGTATACGCCCTGATGTCCACTGATATTAAGAGTGAAAATATTCCTATACACGTATGTATGTATTTACATACATAATCATGTATGGATTAAAAACATTGATTTTTTTGAAGTCTAACTACTTAACGCATGTTCACATTATCGTAATTAACTACTCATTTGTAATTTATAAGCAAATCATGCTGAAATCAAGTAATTTTGCTTTGTAATATCTGTCAATAAATTAAATAGAAATGAGATAATTTATCATAAATCCAGAACCAAATGAAGAAAAAAAGGATGTTTCATTTATTTTAGCCCACACTGTTGAGGAAATAAAAAAAGAGTAAGTGCGCCTAGGCCACACTGGAGAAGTGAAACTTACGTTACATATCTATTTTGTCTCATAACCAATATACCTACATACATGCATATCGAGCCCTAACCGCAAAAATAACGTAAGCGACGTTTTTTTCATTTTTGTTTTGATGCAGAAATACATCTAGATGCTCTAGGAATATTTCTGCATCAAAAATAAAATTTTGAAAAAAATTTCGCTTACGTTATTTTGGCGGTTAGGGCTCGATATGTATGTATGTATGTACATACATCTGCTTTGCCTTAAGGTTATATTTTTTGCCTTTTTTATTTTAAAATTTTTTACATTTATGTTATTCCGTCTTTCTTTATCCTCAATTTTATCTTTATTCTCTATCGATAACAAAAGCGATAAAAATATGGATAACAAAATCGATTACAAATTCGATAAAAATTTCGATAGCAAAATCGATAATAATATTGGTAGCAAAACCGATTAGAAAATCGATAAAAATATCGATAACAAAATCGATAGAACTAACGAAAACAAAATCTCCAAATAATCGATAACAAAAATCGATTAGAAAATCGATAAAAATATCTATAACAAAATCGATAAAAATATCGATAACAAAATCGATAAAGAAATCGATTAATAATCCATAGCAAAATCGATAAATAATCACTAACAAAATCGATAAATAATCGATAAAATTTTCGATAGCGAAATAGATAATATTGGTCGCAAAATCAATAAAAGTGTCGATAACAAAATCGATTAGAAAATCGATAAAAAATACCGATAACAAACTCGATAGAATATCGATAACAAAATATATCAATAATCGATAACAAACTCGATAAATAATCGATAAATTATCCATGAAAAAATCGATAACAAATCGTTAAAAATTTCGATTTCAAAATAGATAACAAAAACGATAAAAATATCGATTATTATATCTATAAGTTCCGAAAATATCGATAGCAATATCGATAAAAATTTCGATAACAAAATCGATAAAAACCGATAAAAATATCGATTATTATATCTTTAAGTCCCGAGAATCCCGAAAATCTCGAATATCTCAAAATTGTTCCCAGATTGAGTCCTTTTTTTTTAGATTGGCGCCGAGCTTCTCCTCCGATTTGTGGTGTGCGCCTTGATGTTGTCACACAGAGCGGAGGGACCTACAGTTTTACGCCGACTCCGAACGGCGATTGTATTTTTATGAGAAGCTGTTTTTCATGGCAGAGATACACTCGGAGGTTTGCAATTGCCTGCCGAGGGACGACCGCTGTTAAGAAAAAACCTTTTTCTATATTTTTTGCGATGTTGCTTTGACCAGGGCTTGAGTCCTTATTTATATCCTTTTCTCTATAATTACCTTTATTTGAATTTTTCTTCCTCTATCTTCATCTTTACTTTAATCGGTATTCTCACCCTCATCTTTTTGTTTATATTTATCTTTGTTTTTACTTTTATGTTTATCATTTTCTTCATATACATATTCCCCTTCACCTTTGGCCATATACTTATACTCCAGTAAAGTGTTAAAATTTACCATGGTCTTCATTTTTGCTTTTATCTTTACGCATCTTTGTTTTGGTTTTTATTTTTACCTTTGCCTTTATTCTTTTATTTATCTATGTACGTACTCACCTTTACTTTCATTCTTGTATTGGTCTTTTTCTAAGTGTATACACTCAAGAAGCACTTGTTTCAGCCCCAACCATTTCCGTTGCACCATTTCCGTGTGCAATTTCCGTTGAATTTGCAAATTTACTCCCAACCAACCAACCGCCGCTAAAGAAGTTTCACTTCAAAAAAATTCCTAAAGGTATGCAACCATTTTTTGTTTGAAATCTAGTACAAACCAAACAACAGTACGTACACATGCTATAGAAATTGTGAAAGAAGATGTGAACGTAGGTGGTTTAAGTTAAGTAATTTATGCTGTACCGTAATTTTTGCGTCACAAAAAATTGAGATAAAAAAATAAAAATAAATCAGTATATTATATATATACAAAAAATATAAAATAAAAAACTAAAAATAATAAAAAAGATGAAATATAAAAAAATAAGAAACAAGGTCCGTTCCAAAACCAAAAGTCGGCAGTCGTAGTCGCATCTGTTAGCTAACGGATATTGCATCATGACAATTAAAGTATTTGTTTTTCAGTTCGTTATTTAATTTGATTACATCAATATATGTGTGTGTGTATGTATGTATATTTTATGACCCAATAAACATTGTGGCGAACGTTCGAAAAATACCTTCGATATTCAATATGAATATCGAACTGAGAACGAACTCATAACCAACCTTATTTTTCCAACGTTCAGAGTAAAGTGCAAATACACTCGAAATGGGTTCGAAAAAAAAAAATGGAAACCATGGTAGCAAGAGAGAAAGTGAAGGCAAATATAAGGCAATCACTCTTTCACAATAAAATTTCAATTCGATAATGGACTGGTTTTCGAATTCATAGCGACGGGAAAATACATTGGATAACAAAAGTTCGTTACCGAAGGTGAGACTCGAAGAGACGATTGGTTTTCCAATCATTTTCGAATTGTTAACCAAGCCCAATGTTTATTGGGGATTTACGAAACAAAATATTCATTTACAACTATGTATGTATGTATGTATTGGAACACTCATTCAACAATGATGTGGGAAAAGCATTTTTATTAGATTATCATCAACTTGCATACTTAGATACCATGCTATCCAAAGTCCATGGAAAAACCAAGAAAGTTATTCAGTGCAGTTAATCAGTGCTTGCACGTTTAATAAACGTCGTTTATACATACATACCTATATTGTCATTAATGTCCACTGGAACTTAAAAACAATAAAATCAAATGTTAGTATCTAGCAAAGCGAAATGTGTGCAGGTGCCGCACTATTTTTATCATTTATTATTTATTGGCCATAAAGATCTACGAAATTTATTAAATGGGCGAGTCAAGTGCTCACATATCATATTATTCCTCCGCCACAGATTAGCCAGCTTTGATTACACCGGCCAACAAAATTTTGCGGCAGAGGATCATCAATTTATCCAATAAGCTTTGGTTGTTTATACATATACATGCATACATACATATACATGTACATATTTTGGATTTATCTTTAGTATCTGTTGGACTCCCATGGTAATTCTTTGAATAAGATAAAAAGAAAGCTTAGATATTGGTTCTATAGTCCGAAGAGTAAAAGATTAGTACCTATTAGACACGGTAAAAAAAAATCTTAATTGTGTGCGAAACGTTCTGCTAAAAAATTGTACTATATCTCCACATGTTACATTATATGTATCTATAGGAGATGGAGATTTCGTAAGGAGCTCAAATGTCTTTTTAGCAAATATCCCAGACGTTTGGCCGTTCAAAAGGGAAATTCTTTTAATAAAAAACTTCTATTATCAGATTTAATTAGATATATGTACTTCAAAATATTAAGAATACTTTTCAAAATTAAGATAATCTGAAATGTATCTAATACTCGAATTATCTCAACTGCTTCTTCATTTAACGATTATCAATTTAACATACTCATAAAAGATCGTTTTTCAATAAACAGAAACCAATAAATATTTTTCCAAATTAAGAAATAAAATTTGTTATCACTACAAACTTTCCATGTATTTTATATTTAGGAAAAAACAAAATTTCGTAGAAATGGTATAGAATTCATTAAAATCAATATTTTTTGATCGGAAAACTCTGCTTATCCGCAAAAGACTCCCTATAATAATGTCCAATTGTTTATTTAACCATTTTTTCATAGTAACTATAATTTATAGGTCCATCAAAAACCCACAAAAACCCCCAAAAAATGCAAAATAAAAAATCGTTAGTATTAAAAAATTGTTAAATAAACAATTGGGTGTTATTATTGGATGTCTCCTGAAGAGAACCAGAGTTTTCCGTTCGAAAAATATTGATTTTCAAGAATTTCATACCATTTCTACGAAAAGTTGTTTTTTTCCTCATAATATAAATACATGGAAAACTTTGAACGCATCGAGCGACGTCTAAATATTTTTTGATTTCAAATTAATAAAATAGGGGTATATTTTTATAAACATAGAACAATCCTAGGAGGTGGAGCGTTAAGATTCCGATTTTACCCTTTTGGGACCACCCTAATGTATACTTACGTACCCTGTGGGGAAAATCTCTAGTTCTGAACTGGTGCGCTTCCAGGACATCTAGACCCAGTACTGGTTCGCGATAGATCCATTTGCATGCAAACAACTGGCGAATTTAACTTTCTATAGTTCCGAACCAGTTCTTAAATCGTCAGATGAAAAAAAAAAATCATGATTTTTCAATCTTTTCGGTTCTTCCGTGTGTGCGATTTAAAATTATTTTCAAAGAAATGTGTTTTCAATTTGAAATTAAATTTGTTTAAATGATTTTGTTTAAGAAATTTTCATTTCTAATGGAAATGTGAAATAAAATAGTTTTTTAAAAGTACCACATTTCGCTGACTTTGGGCTGGTGGGGATCTAGTTACTATCGGACTGGTTCGTTTTTGGCGATAAAGATCTAGAACGAATTTGATTTACTAGTCCGTGATTTCCCTGCAGGGTATGTACATAAATATGTACTATTTAAAAAGAAGCAAAAAAGGATTAAGTAAGACAGTAGAGGTCCATAGTTCAATACTATTTCCATTTTCCTGCAGGGTTAGCATACTTAAGTCTGATTGTCTAGCATTATAATATCGCCTTCTGAACTTTGTACTTCGCTTAATTTTGCTCAATTATCTATAGAATTAATATTATTAATGTGTTGCATTAATTGAAGCGAATATTGATAAGGATTAGTTTCTGTTTCTTATAAGATAATCTGCGTAAAATTGACGCATACGTTTTCGGCATATTTTTCGTTTCTTCAACATAGCGCTAATGTGTCTTTGCTTTTTCCCTTAATAAATTATAATAACCCTTTTTAAAATCTGGTATTTTTTTATATTTTTATACAAAAATATAGTCCATATTAGTTTATTCGAATTTAATCGATAAAATACGACAATATGGCTGGTTAAAACTCATGCGTCAATTTTACGCATAATTATCTTTTACGTATCGTCGCCTGGGTAAAAGATTATCGTAAGCGTCATACGTACGTGTGTAACATACGACAATCTTTTACCCAGGCAACGGTATGTATATCAGAATATGATTATCTTTTCAGGGTTTAAGGTGAATTAGTCAAGAACGCAGAACTTAAGCTGGAATTAGTCAAGAACGCAGAACGTATACTTAAACGCAGTCTGTATACGCAGAATTTTGTCGATTACTGGAGCCCTCAGTGTTGCTTACTACACTGTTGCCACTCATCAATGCCTTTTCATAAACTTACATTTTCACGAAAAATTGGTGTTACAATACATCGTAGCTAAATATAATCTACTTAGTTTTCAAAAAAAACCTTATTCAATGGTAAACTTCAAATATTTTAAACGTATTTTGAATAGGAAATTATAACTTGTTTACCATCTGCAAAACTGACGAAGTGGCAACCATCTA